CACTGAATAGAAACTTCAACTGAAACAGTGAAAGTCTTCGTAGAAATACAAATGGGGCCATAAGTATCATGTCTGACAGTCAGGCAGTATCAGGACTTGTGAACAACTGGAATACTCTATTGATTTTTTATGCGTGCATAACAAGGTAAGGGTAGCCCTTTGGTTTGTACTACGGCAAGAAGGTTCCGGCGACTACGAATAAGTTGACGTTCACGAAAACGTGGGATGCAACGGAGCCTACACCGCAGAGCTACTAGTGGCTTCCGCCGAACGGCGGATAACAAAGGGATAAGGCAATCTAGAAAATTTTAACTCCCCTAAATGAATCTAGGAGCGACTTCGCAATTTTAGTCCGGAAAGCGTGCGCACTTTTACTGGCTACCTGACTGGACTTCAGGTTATGTGGATGGAATATATGCATAATATGCGATTTTCCACATATCATAGGTCTAAGACTTTTATGTTTCGCGGAGTGATTATAGTCTCCGTCCAGAATCTGAGACATGACATCCTCTAAAGCATTTAAATTTACAAGTACTGCAATGTGGATTGAACTTTTATAGGATCAGCACAATGGCTCTATATACATACATAGGTCACGTTTAATAATAAAAAACTATTTATCTTTTTTTACAGAGAATTTTTTTTAGTAGGTATGTTCCAGCATTATAAAATAATTCACAAAATACGTGAAAAATTAGTTTGTTAACTATATATACTTTTTTTCTTTTATATGGGGACCGACCCGACCTACTCTGCATTTGTATGCATGTTCAGTTTGCTCTATGTCCTTTACCGCTCACTGCCCTTCACTGTGCTGCCGCTTTGTTGCGATTTGGAACGCTACTTTCACCATGTTTGCGCTACACGCGCGAATTATTTCATTTCACTTTTGCTAATTAACTCAGCCCCTCAAAGGTACCGAATTCCTCGACTCTCGCAACTTATTTGACACATACATATGTACATATGTAGGCATATGTAAAATTAACATTTAGCATGTAGCACACATGTATTTATTCTGGTATATAATTTCAAGTACATTTGTACACAGGGCAATGCAAACAACCATTCCGTTAGACTTGACAAACTTGCCGGTGTGTCCTCTGCTCGCAGCTCGCTGGCAACTCATCTCTTGCGCTGCGGTGCTCAGGATTAAAGGATGGCGGTCGGGTCGTACATATGTCAATTCTTAATTGCTTCAAATATGTTTTGCCATTTGCAATGCCATGAATATTCGACGTAGCGGAAATGTTAATTGAAGGATAATTAAGATGGCATCATACTTGGCGTGCACTGGGCAGGGCCCCCTGTAAATGAGCGTTATTAATTGCGCTAAAATGTTTGCTTTTCGAATAGGCGTGTTGGCAAATGAAACTGCGAAATTTTAAACGGCTAATAAAAACGCATAAACACGAACACTTGTGAGGTACTTAAGAGTAGGCATTTACATTTGTGAATCGCACAATTTAAATAAACTGAATACTTTTCTAAAAAGTCGGCAAATTATAACTAAGGTATTTAAGGTATTTCGATCAAATATTTGTTTCTAACAACTTTTTCCTTATTCCATTTTTAGGCGCCACAGCATGTCCGCCAGTCTAATGTCCTGTGTCCGGGAGAACTCCCCACCGTTGGATGTTGTGGATGGAGCCAACTGCAGCAGTGCAACAGGTCCAATGTCCTTGCCTGATTGTCATATGTCCACAATGTCTACAGGCAATCAACAACAAATGACATCAACGCCACTAACGACGCCAAATGTCAACGAGAGTAGCAGCAGTGGAGGCGGTGCTGGTGGTGGTGGTGATGGAACAGCACCACATACTGGTAAGTGACAAGCGAAGTTACTTAATACTGATTATAAAGTATTTCCAGCATTTCGGTGCGCGGTTTTTGTGAGTTTTGAAAAGCTTAGAACCAGAGAAACTTTCAAAGTTCAGAAAGTACTTTAAACTTTTACAAAGGATCCAATTTCATGGATATTTTTTACTCTACTGCAGTAAACTGGAAAAGTTGCGAAACTCTTAAAGACTTTTCAGAGTATCGGAGGTTCAGGCTGTGGTCAGTCGTGGCAATCTCCTACTACTTCTGCACTGAATTACTGAATTGTTTTCCTCTTTTCAGAATACATACCTGTATATATATTTTATATGAATGTATATCCATCCATAACAAAAATCTCCTGTCTGTTCGTTTTCTAGCAATATGACATTTTAAAATACCATAGTTCAGCACTTGCCACATTCAAATGTCATTGAAAGCTGTTACGGAGCACAGTCTGTATGTCTTTTGTATCTTTCTGTTTGAATTCGCGTGCGAGTATACCATTGTAAATACAAATGAAAGGGCGAAGAAGAGCTCTTAAAGTGCCGCTCATTGGTAATGTACTTCAATTACACTTAATGAAGATTGAAAGGAAGCCTAATAAATGATAAACTTATGTAAATTCATTGACACTAACTGGATGGTAGATGAGCGAAAAGGAAAAATGTTTACTCAAGTTGAAAGGAACTCTTTGTAATATGAAAACTGACTGAAAGAATAAGAAAGTAGAGAAATACATATCGTCGTTTAAAGTACAAAACCGCGTATCGTTATTCAGCAAAACTGCGTAACTGACATTTGCGGCCAAAAAATGGATTTGCTCACACAAGCTCTTGGCTCAATCTTTATCCATTCGTCCTCAAATATACCAGCCAGAAATGCGATTGCTTTATAAAAAAGGGAACCCTTTTTGAAATATGAGTGTTTCTACTCTCTAGAAAATAATTTATGTAACCTCGCATACGCGGTTTTGCATTTTGTTGATACGCGGTTTTGTATTTTAAACGACGGTATGTATTTACAGTATATTTTGCTTAGCTGCCCATCCTTCTTTGCACGAAAAACTTGTGCGCTTAACCGAAAAAAGCACTCAAGCGAATTTTCTTTACTACTTCAATGTGGAAGGTATCCGAATCCCTATGAAACCAAATAATGGAGGAGCACTTACCACGTAGAAATTACTGCAAGAGAATTTTTTTCCGAATGGTATCTAATTATCTAGGGTAAGGCTTCCTCAAGTGGGCACCGAATTTATCAACATTAATATTTTTCAATGATGTTCAGGCAGCGCCGAGTTTTGTAGTCGAACAATACACTGTGTAATTTTTGTTCCAAAATTCCAAATAGCTTTCTTTAATCAATAATTGAAAATTTTTGCAGTGTTTTGGAATTTTTTTTTTTCTTTGAAAGTAAGTGTCCGAATGAAAAAATTTTTTGGGTGCAGATTTAATTTTTTTATGAAAAATTGAACTTTTAAGCAATTTCTGCGCCTCGGGGACGAAAATTTTTATCAACAACTTATGTAATAAACATTTCTGCATTTATCTATGAAAAAAAAAATGCGTGCATTTCGATATAGTTTGGCCGGAATGAATTTTTATTTGCCAGCGTGCGCGCCCGACTCCCGCTGGCATCCGAAATTCGAGCATGAGAAATAAAAGTGGAACGATTGAAACGTGCATTTCTTTCTTGCGCAAGAAGTCAACACGAACCCGCACGCTGGCAAATAAAAATTTATTCCAACCAAACTATATCGAAATGCACCCATTTTTTTCATAGATAAATGCACATATGTTTATTACATAAGTTGTTGATAAAAATTTTCGTCCATGAGGCGCAGAAATTGCTTAAATTTAAAATTTTTCATAAAAAAATTATTGAAAAGCAAAAACAAAAATTTTGTAACGCAAATAATTTCATTGCATAATTTAATGTTTCTTAAATGTGCACCCCAAAAATTTTTTCATTCGGACACTAACTTTCAAAGAAAAATAAAAATTTCCCAAACACTGCAAAAATTTTCCTTTGTTGATTACAAAAAAAAAACTATTAAGAATTTTGCAACAAAAATTACACAGTTCGACTACAAAACTCGGCGCTGCCTGAATGTCATTGAAAAACATTAATGTTGGTAAATTCCGTGCCCACTTGAGGAAGCCTTACCCACCTCTGTACATATGTATGTCCCCAAACTCTGAGAAAGTAGTTTGGGGACATACATATGTAGACTATGTAGGTATAGTGAAACACTTGTGGTGAATATAATTCAATAAAATCGCGGAACATTGTAGTGGCGTAGAAAGACACGAAATAATGCACGTTAAACTTCACTCAGTTATAATTTTACAGGGCTAAGCAAAAAAATTTATTGTGAAAAAAAGCACCAACGTGGTATCGGAACTTAATCTGTCTTTAAAAGATGTATGTCAATACGAGGAAAATATTTTTGCATGAATAAAATTTTATATCTTACCTTGAAAAAAAGCTAGTTCTCAACTTTCTGTACAACGTTTTCAAATTGTGAATTTTAAATTTTTGTACGGTTTGAGGTTTAGTAAAATTATTTTAGTTAACAAGAGTATATCAAAGATTTTTCGAAATGTAACAGCGCGGTCAGAGCTAGAAAAGACTGACCATAAAGGGGCAAAACACCGTCTTTATCAGAGACGCTGGTCTCGTATAAAGGACTATCCTTTTCGGTTCCTAAGTCTAGTAGCAGTTTTTTCTCCGCCTTCCTCAAAGGCTCACATGCCGAATGTGTGTGCGTAGGTGTCACCCAATAATGGGAAAAGGCAACTCCTAGGTTCGACAGAAAAAAAATGTTTTAAAAATTGCCTTACAAAATTTTGGGAATGAAGAACGATAGAAGAAAAATATTTAAAATTTAAATATTTAATATTTTAAGAAAAATATGCACATTACATCTTAAAGCATCTAGAAACAACCCTGCAGGAAATGTATCTAACTATAAGCTGAACTTAAGTTGCTTAGGAAGGAGCTATAATTCACTTATTATCTGTATATTTTCTTTGACGAAAGCTAACTATATTTCTATGGCGATGGCCGCGAAATAGTCAAGGTTACCTCTGCATTTGATGTAACTAACTTGTAACTAACTACTTTTGGGCATTAGATATCAATAGGAAAAAAAAAATATTTGTATTTATTTTTTTTTGTTTTTTTTTTTATTTATTTACTTTATTTATTTTATTTTATTACACTTATTTCGAACTCCGTCAGACATAACTTCAAAATGATAATATGAAATTTCGATCTTCCTTTTATTTGTCCTCAATTCGAAAAAGTATCTGCGAAATGCAGGATATTTAAATAGAAACGCGTTTAAAGAAAACAATCTCGAGCTTTACTCCTGCACTACTTGTCCACTGGTTTCAAGTTACCTTTTTGTAGCTAACCACAAGTTGTATATTTTATAGAAATCCCGCAAAAAAGCTAACTACAAGTAGGTTATTTTTTATCAATTGATAATTTTTTTCTGCAGGGAAGTGCCGATTGACATCCAATGTATGCGGTGCGCATTCATTTCTTTTGTGCCTCGCATGCGATCAAAATGGAGAATATAGTCAAGTATTGTAAGTAAGTGGATATTTCGGTTTATAGATTTGTCATAAACGTCTATTATCCAAAAGTTAATATTTTTATAGTTTCTTTGAACGTTGGTCTTTATTTAAATACTTTAGTTTAATTTTTAACTTTGCAGGATTTGCCAAGTTTTTCGTACGTGTGACTTCCAAAAAATGTTACGTTAAAGACCACTTAAAACAACATCTATCTTTAAAACAACAAGATTTAGGAAACAAGTGTCTGTATATAAAATTTAGCTTAGGATAAAGGAAAAACTTTTCGTTTTTACATAACGTTTCATATATATGTATGTACATATACACAGAAATATAGGTGTGACTGTAACGTTAAGGACAACAATTTTGATAATCGATAGATATATTGATGAAACCTCTATTGCCGTAGTCGAGTAATTAAAGGCGCTAATATTTAAATAATAGAAAGAAGATTTTTCCGTATACATACATACAAGCAGTCGCCACTCTACCGACAATGGCAACCCTCAATGTGTACTTTTGCAATAAAAAAGCTACCCAAAACAAGGATTTGTGCTGCGATGTGCATGTTTATTAATTCTATGTTTCTTTTTTCCGTTGCTACACACCCATCGGCGTTATCAATAACAGGTATGTAGTACCATGTATTTGATTGCCTTATGGCGATGATAGTCGCACAGTTGGCTGAGTTCTGTGTTCATCTATCAACCAATCAAGTTGCTGCGAATGTAATCATTTCCTAACTCAAGTCAAATTGCGTGTGATAAAAATTGCATGAGATAGCATTTTACTTTCTACAAAAGTAAAAAAAGGGAAAACGCTGAACCGCAGAATGTGAGCAGGCAATCAAGCGCAAAGAAACATGCAAAGAAGATTTCACATGAATGGGTGACTCGTTCCAGCTTCAATTTTCATTTTAATTTCTATTTTTCCAGTTTGAAATTGCTTTGATACAATTTTATTTGCGCAGCAGCAGCATTCAGAGCAATCAAAACCACACCCACCGCAAAATGAACTCAAAGGCACACATAAAAAGTCTCGTGCGTGTTTTTGTTGATAACTGCCTGTCTGTCCGCATGTCTGCTGGGGTTTATTGACTTTGTGCTTGATAAGCCACAAATATGACGATGATATGCAATTATTGTTTTGCTCAAATGCGCCTACGCCATTAGCATATGTAGATGGACGCATATGCAAACATACACTTATACACAGGGTTGCCACTGACGAAAAAAAATACTTACCGTCCACTTGAAAAAATCTACCAATTGTGGAAAATATCTACCAACAATTTGTTTTAGTTATTTTAATGAAACCTATAGTTTTGTTATTTTTTTAGTTAGTTCCATAAGAATTCAAATTGTGTATAAGGAACTTTTTATTTAAGAGATCATATTAATGGCACTTCTCAGTTTCCTTCAA